GTTTTGGATGAAGAGGGACCTCGTGATTTGCTTACGGCGCGCATAGAGAAAGTTGTGCTCGATGCTAACTTGAATAGAACCCAGTTGGTTCAAAGCACTAGTATTGCCTCGAAATAACCAGTATATTATTGTAAAGTGCGCGATTATGGTTGGACGGTCATTAAATACAAGTATATCTGGGGGATGGGATCATAAAGAAAATAAATTTAAACGATACGGAGAACGCAAAGTTGTGTTGAAATAATTACACAATTCCAAGCAAATACATCCGAGTCTTTTCAATAATAAATTTGCACCATCCAGTAACATTATTTATCTGGTATAGGTCGTACTCAATTAAAGATGTCACATACAAGGAATGACTTCGTTCACCTGTGGCAACCTCGTATATAATCATCCCCAAACTAAATATCCACATATTTAGTGTCGTCTGATTCACGAGGAAGTACGCTGTAGATTTCTTGGTTTCAATTTTTATATATCTGCTGGGCAGGTAAGTATCAATACTCAATATATATTTGCAAGGCGAAAGTCACCACGCACAAGTTTCGCTTCGTGAATTTTTCTTAAAACACGCATAATAGAATGTTATTCTAATTTTTGATCCCAAGTCAATTCTTCGTAGTTGGGATTAATATATTCTCCATCTTCTGTGTGCTTCATTACTATTGAGTACGCATTCGTAGCTGGGTTTTTAATGGTTCCATAATAATTTATTCCAAAGTAAGCATCACTGAACTTTAGAGTTGTCCGAATCTATTTTTGAAAGCTTAAGTTTTTTAGAAAACAAAAAAGCGACTTGCTTATAATTTAGAAATTGCTCATTTTTATCTCGTTTATAATTCGCTGCGAATCACGGAATGATTCAACACAACAACTCTCGGTATGAATCATCTTTAATCATCTCCTTTAATTCATTATATTCGTGATTCCACTGTAATAATGTAACGATGCTTTATAAATTTTTCCAAGGTATTCAACATTGGGAAGGGATCCATTTGAAATGCCATCGGGTTTTCATGCATTCTTTTATTAGACAGTCGATATCCTTAATTTCGCTAGACCATTTAGTTTCATAAAGTTGATATTGAAATCGAAACATTTACTGAAGCGATCTTTTTTTTTACGAGTACATTTACGTACTGCAATCAAGAATTGATATCTCTTCATTCTTATCGTTATTAATTTTATCTAAATACATTTTGAACCATCAAAGAAAAATAAGAATGAATTTAAGATTAACAAAAAAGGTATATTAGAGTAATACAAGTCTTTTAATATCGATATTGCTGATACCGATACCGATACGTACATGTACTACGTATAATTTAATCCTAAATATTTTTCATTACGTAATATTTAAATCGTAATGAAAGATCGAGTAGATAAAGTCCTCAAGTTCCTCAGCAGTTGTCTGTTTTCTGGAATAGAATCCCAACATTTTCAATAATAATTGAGGAATATTATTTGGTATCATATGTCGTACTCCGTTATAGATGTCTCCGTCCACCAAATGGTCGTTCACGTAATCGTTCCAAAGCTATAAATATCCGCAGCTTTAGTGTATCCATTTAGCACCTCTGGACTCAAATAAGGAAGTCTCCGCAAATTTTTTGATCAGATTTTTCTATATTCGCTGGTTTGCTAAGTCCAAACTCAGCAATACTAGCAATAATTATTAATATATTTCCAGGGTGAGAGTCATAATGTAAAATTCCTCGCTGTGTATTTTATCAACTCTCCGATAATATTAATTAAATGATGTAATTTTTGTTCCCAAGCCAATTCTCTGTATCTGGAATTCATATATCATCATCTTTGCATAAGTCATTATGATCGAGTATTCATTTGTAGCTGGGTTTTTAGTTATTCCATAATAACTAAGAGTACGACTGCACTTTAGAGCAGTCAGCATCTAATTTTGAAAAAGTGAATTAGATTAAAAAAAAAGCAAAATGCTTACAAAGATGTTCATTTTACCTCGTTTATAGACTCAGATATAATTTGCTTTGAATTGTATAGTGATTTCAACACAACTTTGCATTCTCCGCATTATCCCACTTGTCATAATTCAATGGTCCGTCAAACCAGGTTGTTTTATAAACTGTTCCGAAACCTCCTTTTGCAGGATATTCAACATTGGTAAATCTTTCAAAAGGGATCCATTCGAAATGTTTATAACGACCAACAATTCCATCGCATTCATTTATTAGACTGTCAATATCTTTATTTCCGCTAGACCATCCAACATAAATTCGTCTGTGATATTTACTGCATTCAAAGCAGTACCGATTTTTTTGACATTTGATACATTTATTACAATCATGAGTATTGTGAACTGAACACGCTTTGCAGTAGTAATCCCGTTGACAATAACCACATTCACTACAATCATGAGTATTCGAAGTTTCAAATACCATCTTTGAGTTTATTTTATGTCAGTGTTTTATTTAAAAACTATGATTTATATACGTTATTCACTTCCGCTTGTGTTTGTATGCATGAAAAATAATACAGGAGCAGAACATTACCGTTACGCATTAAACGCTGACAAATACGTATGCAGAAAAAATGTCAATTATTAATACATGTTCATGTAGTAGAGTTAGTCAATCAACTTATAATTCCATCATTTTGTAGCTCAATTGGTTATATTCTTAACATTAATGAAAAGAAAAGGATAGGATTTTATGTGTTTGCGCACTACTTTTAATTGGGTCAATTGGAAATTATACATGTAGCTACATACATAGTTGGTGATGAAGAAAAAGAACTTTTTGTGCTTGATAATTCAATTTGGCTAGACGAGAATGATGCAAACGAAACAATGATAGGTTCACGGTTTCTTATACTAATATCGTAATTTCGAACTTGTCGTATCTGATTTTTTCTCCTTACACTTAATACTTTGACAATTCGATCTTTCAGGTTTTTTAATAGTTATGATTTGAAAAATGAAAGCTTTACTTATTAATGTAATGAACCTTTAAGTAACTTGCAAATAATTTGGACACATGCACATATCGTAACTATCTACGTATGCTTTTCGACATTAGTGACGGCTGAGCATTATCACCATCTGATTATATTTAGAATTATCATTCCATTAAGGAAGCAATTTAAAGAATTATTTGAAGTAATTTCGGAACATGCCAAAATATTTCTATTTTTGGAACTGCAAACCGTAAAGAACCACAATTTGTTTAGAATACGGATGACTTAATGTGCGACAATTTCAATTGTGATTTTTCAGTAATAGTAAGAAAAAAAATCAATTTATTTGTATCCACTAAAACAATTAATCTTTACATAACATGCATGCTAAAACAATCAAAACTGAAATATCCAAAAATAATACATGTTTAAATTTAATAATTTTCCTTGAAAACCTTTTCATGATCAACATCTTTTCTCAATTCAAATATAACACTATAATTCGGCGGCGTATTCAATTTGAACCCATTCGACACGCCCTCCATATTTATTTCTTTTTCGTCACCTGTCGTCTCATCGATTTCAGGTGTGATGATAAATAATGAGAGGGTGTGGGCAACGATGGCTGATAATGTGATTTCTGTAAGGTATTCACTGATGCTTGCATTTGGTCCTTTACCAAACATCCAGATTTCGGCCGATTTAGGATTTTGTTTCAAGCGACCTTGTTCGTCGAGGTATCGTTCTGGCGAGAAACGTTTTGCTCGTTCAAATAAGGCTTGGTTAAAGTGCAGCGTGTTTGTATTGAATATTACATTAGCATTTTGTGGGATATGATATCCTTGATAAACGTCATTTTTGGTGACAATATGTGGCTGTGAAAAGAAACCTACGGGTCTAGTTAAAGAAAAAATTATTTAACATTAATAGATGCACATACATATATCGACATGTTTTTATAGGAAAATAAACTAACGCTAACCTGAATCTCATAATTTCCTTGACAGTTGCCCTCAAATAATGCAAATTTGCATAATCTTTGACATTTGGGAATTTACCTTTTTCAACAACCCTTGATAGCTCTTGCATAATTTTATGTTGTACTTGAGGCGCATACGACAGCAATACGAAAACCCATTTCAGCTCTGCCAATGTGTTCTCAATTCCATCAAACAATAGATTACTGCTCAAATTAATAAATTCTTTTTCATTTTTTGGTTTCATCGATTTCAAAATCTCTGCAGTGAAGCATTTATCACTTGTTACATTTGTTGCAGTAGCTTGCTTCTTCAGGTTGTCAACCAACTGTTTTGAGATTTCTGCGTATTTTGACTTGGAAAGATGAACTTTGTTTTCGAGTGTTTGTTGTGTCGAAGAAATTTTACGAAGGAATTGCAATGACTCGATTTGGATTTCTTTTTGCTCGAGTGCGTTTGCAGATTCCAAGAATTCCATAAAGTCCAATGAGAACTTCTCAGCAGAGTGACCAAAGGTAATCAAAGAAAAGGTTTTCGAGATTGATCGTGTTAATTCATCGACTGGATTGATTAAAATTCCGGCATTTTTATAAAAATGCCTAGCCAAATTAATCGATTCTTTACAAATAATTGGCAAGTAATTAGACTCGATAATTTTAGGTGAAAGAGCTTGTTGCGCGATTGTTCGCATGGATGGTGAAATAGATTTAACGCCGAGAATCGAGTCACACGGCTGGTAAATTTCATTTTGATCGAGTAACTCATTTGCTACTTTGTAATCATTTAATACGACCAATACTTTATTATTACCTAAATTGATTTTGAATATTGGGCCAAACTTAAGAGCCATTTGGTTAAAAGTCATGTGCAATGGATCAGATAATTGATGTAAATTTCCAATGACTGGTATGGGAGTTGGCCCTGGCAGGGGTTTTGTGCCTTTAGGCAAAGTTGAGAAAACAACAGAAACATTATTATTATTGCTTCTGGTAATTGTGTTGTTCGTGACGGAAGAAACTGGTGTATAGAACAATTTTTTGTTATTCATGATCAATTTTTTGTTACTATTTTGGTGGTGATGATTGTTGCTTTTCTGATTACTGACATTAGAAATAGATTTTTGATTGTTTTTAGATTTGTGATGTTTGTTATTATGTTGTACGTTTTTTCGCTTTTGATTGTCACCGTTTACTATGAGAAAATGAACGAAAACATACGTGAATAAAACATAAGTGAATCCGGTCATTAAGAAGGATAGAAGAACGGTTGCTGTTATCTCAGGCATTTCCCTTTATTTTCTGAATTCAATAATAAGAAATTTAACTCTTTTTCTTTTATGAACAAAGAAAAAAAATATGACGAGATAACAGACGAAGAAGGAGGTATTTAATAAGGATTTCGAAAATTTGGAAGGTATGATAGATGTGGCGATGAGAATAGGAATAAAGGAACGTAAAGAAGTGTAGATGGGATGTGATCTGATTGATAAGGTGAAAGAAGGGGATGAATATGTAAAAGAATGAATATGTAAAAGAATGAATTTAAAAATAATAGTCGAACGTGACTAAAATATTCTTTTTTTTTCATGCGTGTATAGTAATGCCAAAAAAGGAAATAAAAAATCATTATTAATACAACGTGGTGGCATAACGATGAGTACGTACTACATGTAATAAGTAACTTTAATAATACTTACGAAATCAGGAATCACACACGAAGGTAGCGGTGTTATTCAAAGAGAAAAGATAAATAAAAAATACCCCCCGCCAAGGCTTCCTTGTATTTATACTGATCAAGTAATCTATCTTCGAGTATGATTGGTTCACCACCACCATCACCTTAATTATTAGAAATAGGAACAATCGAAATAATTTTTTGTTTCAAGTCTGCATCTTGCACACGATCGTACGATGATGAAAATTTCTTGACAGCTTAAAACTCCACTTGTATTATATTTTAATTAATTTCTCGGGATTTGATTGGATCATGTACTGTATATTCTAACGATCCGTGATATGAATGAATAGTCTATGCACATGAGAATTTAACGTATTTCAGAAACCATCATAGCAATAGCGATAGGGGTTATTTTGGCTTCCATGGCAAAAATCATTGGAAATTCTGTGTGTTTGTAATTACATACGTATGCATAACCTGCCTGTCTTGTTTCACCATTACCATTACGTATTAGCTACAGTAAAGTTATTATTGTTACAGGATTTAATTGGTTTATCGTTATTATTATAATGGTATAGAGATTCGGGTGTATCATTCATTTGCATGTTTGTGCATGATTATCAGATTACATGCGTCAATCACAGTAACCAATAGCGATAGAAAATAACAGAACATATAGAGCATTATCGTTATTACGTACGTATCTAACTAAAACATCTATATTTACTATCCGTTTTCATTCTATTCTTCAATTTCCGAAGGACTAACCAATTGATTTTTTCCTCGAATTTGCTCTATTTTATCTTTTCCCTTAACGTTAAGTCCTCTTCCTGTACCATTATCAACCACAGTATCGGAAGTCTCAGTGGAACTACTATCACGGAAACTGACTACCGTTTCAGTAGATGTGTTTCCTCCGTTATCATCTGCCGGTGCGCCAAATAAAGGGAGTAGTCGTTGTCCTTTTACCGGTTTTTCTAATTTGAGTCTTTTAATTAGCGCGGGTGTGTTCAATTGTTGCTTTTGGGATGCGACTGCAAGATCGGCGTATCGAGGCGATGCATAAGTTGAAGGTTGTGCATCATATAAATTATCGCTGTTATGAAAATTTTTGGGAACCGGATCCTTAGAGAAAGGTAATTGTGGTTCCTCTTCTGGTTTTGTGGAGTAGTCGTCAGCCAAATAAGGTCCATCCACGATATTTTCGGGAGGCTTACTAAAAATTGGTGCAGTTCTCCAATCATTTTCATTTCCTATGTTGAGTTCATGCACATTAGACGTGGATGGTGATAATTTGTCTGGTTGACCATCTGAAATTAGAATCGGAAAAGAATTAGAAACATTTAGAAAAATGCATATTGAAAAATAGATGACGCCGAATGTTATTTTTTTTAGATGCTGAAATTTGAGATTTAGTTTGGACATTAGAATTTATTAAACTGGGTTGCATAAATTTAACGTTTGAAAGCTTAATTTTATATGAATGTTTTGTTTGTTATGTGCATTCTTTTTCGTTCAAGCTTATGATTTGAATCAATAATCACTGTATTGATGTGATGTATTTATATATAAGCTACTACCGTAAAACGCCATGGAAACCACCCCCCCCCCCTGGAGAAAAGTTAAACCTTAGTTTAACCTCAAGGCTATGAATTTAGTATAAGAAAAATTGAAGAAATTGTACGGCGAATCTTGAGTTATTCATTTTGTAGAAACTTAATTGGTTTTATTAAAGAAATCAGACTAAATTAAGGTTTAGATTCTCCCCAAAGGGAGGTGGTTTCCATGGTGTTTTACGGTGATTTTGTTCTATTTAACTATCATGCGCCAACTTATTAGAATACATTAAAGAAATTTAAATAAAAAGACAGATTTGGAAAATTTAAATAATATTATACATTCGCATTTGTTAAGCGAAAACTATAAAATCAAAATACTTTTCATTGCTAAACCGAATTTGGCTTTTTTTTACAAAGGGTTCCACATAAGAAAATTCGGTAATGTGATGCAACGTGTATTGGAATTTTTTGAGATGTGATAAAATAAAACGATTAAATATATATCATTCAATTATCAAATTCGGAAACAAGCAGACTTGTTGACTAATATAAAAGTGGTTCTCATAGTAGTTTTTACGCTTCCTTGATGATATATTTTTCTTGTTTATTTAATAACTAATAATGATAATTACATAAATATTCCTTCTTTCTAACCTTGAGAAAAGCATCAATTAATCGAAATTACCAACTTGCTAAACTGAGCGTTAGTAAAAATATCAAAAATATAATTATTAAAATTAACATTAATTGACTTGATGGATTAATTATAACCCTTTTATAAATATCGTAATCTCCATTGTTTTGAATCTTTTTAATCATATACTCAAGTTCAAGTTTCTGATTAATTAACATTTCGATTCGTTCCTGAAAATCCTGTCTTTCTTCTTTTTGCTGTTCCCGCTCCCATTTTAGTTTCATTTGAAATTTCGTTTCGTCAGAGAATTCTTTCTTTGCTCTATCTAAATCAACTTGATTGATCAGATTACAATTCTCCTCTTGCGGACTTAAAATTTCTTTCTTCATTTTCTCAATTTCAATGTTTCTTGTTTCAGATTCATAGTTTAATCTGGCAATTTCATCTGTGAGATTACTGACTTTGATTTGGAAATTGTGTATTTCTTGTTGATATTTTTTTTCTTGCTCGAGTGCTTGAGAGATTTTTTGATTGAAATTTTGTTCGCGTTCTCGGTCAGTTAAATAGTTTATCGTTTTTTTAAGTTGTTTGATCTCGCGAGATTTGATATCTTCATCTTTAAGTTTATTTTCATTCTTTAAGACTTTTAAAGTATCTAAAAGGTATTTTATTAATTAGTATATTATGTAAAATTAATTTAAATACGAATCGTAATAAACTTACCATCTTCGAATTTATTTAGTTTATCAATGGTTTCATTCTCGATAAATGCATCATCAGTACAATTGATATTATTGTTATTAATATCAATATTAATATCCCGATTCAAAATCTGCTCAATACGATGTTCTCGATCGTATAAATTTCCTAAAATTGTTCTGAGTTGTTGAGTTCTTAAAGGTCTTAAATTTTCCTCTTTATCTTCAATCTTCCGATCGCTTGATGAATTTTTATTTGATTGCTCATTCAATAATGAAGAACCTAAAATTGGTTTATTTTAAATTTTCACAAATAAATCCTAATCGAGTGTTATTCAACAAAATTCTTACCGCCAATTTTGTCAACATCGATTTTAATATTCGATGAATTCATTATATTGATAATTCCTGATGCATGAACTTTTGCAATAGCCGCTGCTATTGAAGAATCCACGTCACTGATAAAGCTAATTTCTTCCTTTTTGTGGGCTATCGCGACGCCCACAACCGAGATGACATCCAAATTTTTAAGATTTTCTTTTACAAAGCGTTCTTTAGTCGTTTTCGCTTTTGCCATATTTAATTTTTCATCGACGAAAACAACGGCAAAAAATCCGTATCCATTTGTCATAATTAAAACATTTTTACAGAATATACTTTTTCTTGTTATTCCCATTTCATAAAGATATCCAAATCCTGGTAAATATTTTTCAGCATTGTCAAAAAACATCTTTTCATATGCGAGAAGATGTGTTTTTTTATTTATTAACATTTTATGCTGGTCCCATGTGCGGCGATTCACGGAGTCACGTTCAATTATCGATCGATGAGATTCATAATGGATTATGGCATTTGGTATTACGTATTCGAGTATTTCTTGTTGGTTCCATAAGTTCCATGAATAACCAGTCTGTGTTTTACAGTATTTTACCCGTAATTCCGGTACAAATGGTGATATTTCTGCGGTCAAAACTACAAGTTTATTTATTGCTTCTATTCCTTCAAAGAATACCTTGAATTTTTGCTTTTTATCACGAACTAAAATATTATCGATGTCCATTATGAGACTGTTCGTAATCCATTGTTCTACTGTATATCGATATAGATAAAAATAGCTGATTGCGCCATCCCAGGTGACATAACAACTAATCTATATTAGGAACCTTGCATTTAATTACGTATCGATATTTCATAACTTCGAAAGTTCTAGAATAAATAAAATCGTCCTAACATATCCATCAACTCAAAGAAATTTCTCATTGCCTGCAAGTAGAACGAATAGATTGCTATTGTAGCAATTTATACATGTACTGAGAATAAGCTTATTAACTTCGACGAACTTGATTCAAAACCTACAATAAATTTTACGTGACACGATTTAGAAGCGTCGCAGCTGGTTGTGCGCGTTCGATCGGTCGGTCGGTAGTAGTCATAATTGCGTATTGTTAAAGAATTTATGCATAATTTACTGTAATGCTGATAAAACCAATGAAGACCAATTGCTTAAAGAATCTTTCTAGTAAAGGAAATAATTTTTTTGAAAAAATCTTGGAAATTTTGATAAAACTAAGTACGTAGTTGTAACAGTCTTACAGGCTGCAGCTATAATAGTGCAACAGTTCATTCAATTGCAGAATTAAAATAGCGGCAGTTGCAAATGTCGACACTTTGACTTTAGTTTGTAATGAGTTGCCACAGAAATTGTAGCAAGCTATTGACAACATACAACTCTAGGTGACAAGACAAGTAATAGAAGAACTATGTTACAACCTTCTGATTTGCAATGCAAAAAACACCGAATCATCGTTTTGTTTATGTCAGCCCTCGATCTGTATTTAAAGTCTGTTTCCTTTTGCAAGCGCTTTCCGATCTATCATATGGGCTGAGTGCAATAGAAACGGTGTAAATTGTATTAGAAAAATATCCAATTAATTTCGTATGTCTATTATATACATTATGGCACAACTAGTTATCTATTATAATCGTAATCGCTTAAAGTAGTTACAGCTTTAGAAGCTTTCGAAAAGCTAGAATATATTGAGCCCAACAACCTTATAAGAAAAATACGCCTGTAAATTTCAAAAAAAACCACACGCACACGGAAATATACGAAAAAGTCTGATATTTCTGTAAAAGACACGTAAAAGGGCGTCGTTTACAGAAATACAATGTAGGACAAAGACTTGACAACCTTTTAATACGCGATTTACGTGTTTATATGTCTCAGAATATTAGCAAATTTTTACATATTACGTGAAAATTTCTTATAACTTGAACCACGTTTTTGTATGACAAGAATTCAAGTATTTGGTAGTGATTTTATGCAAACATCTTTAGAGGCTATAGGATAAAAAGCATGCAAGTTAATAAACTTAAGATTATCTGATGCAAGTCTGAATTTTTATTTAAAATATGTTTAAAGGTGAATAAGTGCAGACGGAAACAATCGTGTTTATTCTGCCATTTAATAATTTTAAGCGCTTTGAAAGAGTTATTGGAATCAATTTCTTATTACCACAATGGATAAAGGTAAATGAACACATGTCTTTAATTATCTTAGGTTTATGAGAACACACTCAAAACGATGAAACATATTTTATTTATCATAATTTTGCTAATGTTGAATTTTTCGGTATACATGAAACGAAGTAATAGTAAAGATACTGGAAGTAAGAAGAGTTGAAATATTTACTAAAACTAAATTTGAATTTGTTATTTAAAGGGTAGATAAATTTAAAAGATACAACATTCAGGAGTTCAATCATGTCCGGTTTGCTCTAGCCTTTTGTAACCACTTCGATGCTAAGTCGAGATTTTTCGAAACACCTATTCCACGTCTATAGGCTTTTTCAAGATTAAGTTGAGCTTTCTTATATCCAGATTCTGCTGATTTCAAATACCATTCAAATGCTTTTTGTTCATTTTTCATTGTTCCTTTTTTATTTTCGTAACAGTTGGCAACAGCCCATTGTGCCTGAGGATTTCCAGACTCCGCCGATTTCAGATACCATTCAAATGGTTTTCGATTATTTTTGTTTGTTCCTTGTCCGTTTATGTAACAATTGGCAACAGCCCATTGTGCCTGAGGATCTCCAGACTCTGCTGATTTCAAATACCATTCAAATGCCTTTTTTTTATTTTTCATTGTTCCTTCTCCATTTTGGTAACAAATGGCAAGATTATTTTGTGCGTCAGGATCTCCAGACTCTGCTGATTTCAAATACCACTCAAATGCTTTTTGCTTATCTTTGATTGTTCCTTGTCCGTATATGTAACAGTTGGCAAGATTATTTTGTGCTTGAGGATCTCCAGACTCTGCTGATTTTAAATACCACTCAAATGCTTTTTGTTCATCTTTAATTGTTCCTTCGCCATTTTCATAGCAGAGGGCAAGATTATTTTGTGCTTCAGGATTTCCAGACTCTGCTGATTTTAAATACCACTCAAATGCTTTTTGCTCATCTTTGATTGTTCCTTTTCCGTATATGTAACAGTTGGCAAGATTATTTTGTGCTTGAGGCTCTCCAGACTCTGCTGATTTTAAATACCACTCAAATGCTTTTTGCTCATCTTTGATCGTTCCTTCTCCATTTATGTAGCAGAGAGCAAGATTAAGTTGTGCGTTAGGATTTCCAGACTCTGCTGATTTCAAATACCACTCAAATGCTTTTTGTTCACCTTTAATTGTTCCTTCTCCATTTTTATAGTAGAAGACAAGATTATTTTGTGCTTGAGGAAATCCAGACTCAACCGATTTCAAATACCACTCAAATGCTTTATGCTCATCTTTGATTGTTCCTTGTTCGTATATGTAACAGTTGGCAAGATTATTTTGTGCTCGAGAATTTCCAGACTCTGCTGATTTCAAATACCACTCAAATGCTTTTTGCTTATCTTTGATTGTTCCTTGTCCGGATATGTAACAGTTGGCAAGATTATTTTGTGCTTTAGAATTTCCAGACTCTGCTGATTTCAAATACCACTCAAATGCTTTTTGCTCATATTTGATTGTTCCTTCTCCATTTTTGTAGCAGAGAGCAAGATTAAATTGTGCGTTATGATTTCCAGACTCTGCTGATTTCAAATACCACTCAAATGCTTTTTGTTCATCTTTAATTGTTCCTTCTCCACTTTTATAGCAGAAGGCAAGGTTATATTGTGCTCGAGGAAATCCAGACTTTGAAAATTTCAGATACCACTCGAATGCTTTGTGTTCATCTTTGATCTTTCCTTTTCCATTTTCGTAACAAATGGCTTGTGCTTGAGGAATTTCAGACTCTGCTGCTTTAACATACCATTCTAATGCCTTTTTCTTATCTTTTTTTATCCAATTCTCGTCGTTATATAATTCTCCAATTAAATATTGTGCTATAGCATCTCCTTGAAATGCTAATGGCTGATAATGTTGTAATGCTCGATCATAATCTTTGTCAACATTAATACCAAAGTGATAAATAATACCTAGAATTTTTTCATATAGTATATTATTTTTTAAACTTTGCAAAAATTCTATTTTATTAAAGGGTATTTGAGTTTTTTCGAAAATAACTGTAGCAAATTTTATTAAATTTGCTCTACAATTTTCATTATATTTGAAACTATTTTCAAAGAGGATCAATAAATCATTCATTGCAGTTTCATTTTTTTCTTCGTCAATTTGTTGCTGGTTAATTATTTGATTTTCAGTTGTGCTTTTTGGTGATAAAGACGCCAAATTGCTTTCTACTTGATCCGAATAAGTTGAACTAGTCCAATCCATTTGATCATTTATGGCGTCATCGACGTTTATTCTGGATCTTTTTTTCGACATATCCTCTTTCCTTTCACTATCTCCCGTCGTCAATAGCGGTTGTGGACTCGTAATTTGATTTTTAGTTGTGCTTTTTGCTATAATATATGGCGCTAACGACGCCAAATTACTTGCTACTTGATCCGAATAAGTTGAACTAGTCCAATCCATTTGATCATTTACGGCGGCGTCATCGACGTTTATTCGGTATCTTTTTTTCGACCTATCCTCTTTCTTTACACTGTCTTCCGTCGTCGTCAATAGCGGTTGTGGATCCTCTTCGCATTCTGTTTGTTGCTTTCTCTTATTGTTTGCTATTTTCTCAATTTCTTTAATCAATACCTTATTGTTATCGATTTCGGACATGTTTATATTACAAAATACTGTATATTTAATATGTATATCAGGAGTCTTGGTAGATTTATATTTGTGAGTGTGTCCAAGTCCTACAATAAAACGTGTGAAAAATTGAAAACATCAAAATGTTTATAGACAACGATCAAAAGATCGTGAAAAAAAGGTGACTCAAAAAAATGTTAGGGTCATGTGATATTTGTGTGTCGGATTTGTTTGGGCTGATCAAAAATTTACATTTTTATTGGTTTATGTCACCAGCAGATCAAAAATTTACGCATTCTTATTGATTACCACGTGACCCGAACATTTTTTCGCCATGGCTATGGTGCATAACATCTAAAGTCATCAAACGTTTATATGTTATAAAATGTATAAATTTCTCAAAAAAGTAGTAAATACAAAATTTAATCCGTGAATATACTCAGAAAGGGCTTATTCTATCATATTCACGGATTAAATCTTGTATTTACTTCGTAGTAAAGAAGTTTATCCATTTTATAAAATACAAATGTTTGATGACTTTAGATGTTATGCACCATAAGATACTTAAAAATGTTCCCATACAAACATATGAGAAAATGGAACCTAACGCTAAAAAAGAATGTATACACAAGAACAATCTTTAAAGATTATTCTATTCCAAAATACGGTTCATTATGAGTAAAATCTACGTGATAATTCAGCTTTCCATTGTTACTAGGGATGTTTTGCGGTTTATTTGGTTTAAATAAAATTATTAATTTTCTTTAAAAGTTATTATAATTTTTTAATAAGTAACTTAATTTACAATATTATTTATAATCGATAATTTTAATTAGTAAGTTTACCAAAATAGTCTCAAAAGTTATTAATTTTATTAAACTACCTCAAATAGTGCAGTTTAAACGATGGTCCAAACTTATGGTTTAAATGAAATTACTAATTTTCTACAAAAATAATTAATTTTTTTGGATTAAATAACTTACTTTCAAATTTTACGCTAATTAATTTTGATTAGAAGGTTAAAGAGAAATAATTGTTAATTTCAATCAGGTAAATAAACTGATAACATTCCTAATTGTTACAAACTAACAATTTTTTTCAATGTAAAATCAATGATTTTAAAGTGTCTGAAAACTTTTAGCTATTCACGATATTTCGCCAACTAGTGCTCCGAACGGTTCGGTTTATTTTAAAACCGAACCAAATATTCGATTTTGTTTTGATCGAACTGAGCTACGTAATTAACACGTGTCAAATAGAGTTTGGAACCGGATTTATTTTTAAAATTAGAATTCGGTTTTAATCCGGTGTAAATCCGAATTTTAATATTAAAAATAAATCCGGTTCTAAACTCTAGTGTCAAGTCGACCAATAAGGAATCAATTTGAAATCAGCAATGAAATTATGCTTCAGAACATGTCACTCTAATGAGTGAGCAAACAGAAAGCATAATAAGTGTATTTTTCTTTTATCTGTTAGATAGGCTCTCACTATTACTGATAGATATTATGTTTACTTAGTGTGAGACAGTCTTATATGGTGCATAACATCTAAAGTCATCAAACGTTTGTATGTTATAAAATGTATAAACTTCTCAACAAAGTAGTAAATACAAAATTTAATCCGTGAATATACTCAGAAAGGGCTTATTCTATCATATTCACGGATTAAATTTT